CGAGGCTATTTCTCTGGACGGCAGAGTCTGATGTGTACTGTACAGAGTCTGATACTATATATACAGAGTGTCCCAAAAATATCTCGCAATCCGAAAGTGGCGGCTTCCTCGGGCCATTTGAAGCAACTTTTTCCTTTACAAAAATTTTCTGCGAGGCACCGTTAACGAGTTATTAACGAAAAACAATGACCAATGAGAGGCGAGCTCGGCTGGCGCGAGGCGATCGAGCCAATGAGCGGAACTGGGCTTCGCGCGCTGGTTGGCTGGGCCGCCTCGCGTCAGCCGCACTCGATTCTTATTGGTCACTGTTTTTCGTTAATAACTCGTTAACGGTGCCTCGTAGAACATTTTTGTAAAGGAAGAAGTTGCTTCAAATGATCCGAGGAACCCGCCATTTCCGGATTGCGAGACATTTTTGGGACACCCTGTAGACTGTTGTAAATCGATGTGAAGACAAAAGAAGTGTGAAACAATGCATATGAAGACGATTATTTGGTTCAAACGATGAGCGAGTGAGCTACTAGAGCAAGCCACTATAGTGGCGCGTCGTCCAGAGAGATGACATCCGCGAAAGCCACCATAGTGGCGCGTCGTGCCTAAAAGGTTAAAACAGGAGCTATCATTGAATGTCATTGAAGTAACCGATAACAAAACGTTCGTTAAACAGGAAAATATGAGAAACGAAGCGATATCTCCGACGTTTAATGAATTTTGACGCGGTAGAATATCGCGAAGAAAAATGTTTGTTACGTAAGTTGCGAAGCGCGAAGGGAAGCGTTGCGAGAGGACCATTCCTTTGCGGGAATGAAATTAAGACGCGGTGATACGGTAGCTGGAAACTCTCGCGTACGGTGGGGATCGCGTGTCTACAATATGTATTCGAGCTACCGTTTGCGTACATTCAAGCGGTAAGCAAATAGGCAAGTATTTGAGAAGGGCTCGTCCACAAATACGGATATGCAGCTTTGCGACGGCGACCCCGCGTACTCGAGAGCAAACAATCCCACAAGCCAACAAACGTTGGTATCGCTGTTCCCCTTCGGACCACGATACTTCAGACCGCAACAGAGTGGCCACGATACTACCCCCGATTCTGTGAAACTGTTAATCGTTCTTGCTTGACGGAGGGTGGAACGTAATTGTCGCGTAACCTAGAGCAGTCGATATGCTACCATTTGGAAACTCGATGTTACATCTTTATACGGCGATCAATGGCAAAGTTAATTAGATTCGTAATACGCTCGTGCTTGCCGTACCACTTTCCTCAAATGAGCCGTTTATTTTGAAAGTGACATAAGTCACTTTTTCAAAAAAATCGAGTTAATGGTAACACTAATTACAATTGAACGGTATCTTTTCATTTTAAAAAAATTTGCAATCAATAAGTTGAGAACTATTGAGATTTGTTCGAGAGAAGTTTTGCTAATTAACGGTATAACAAACATGTTTATTTTGAAAGTGGCGTAAGTCACTTTGTTTTTATGTCGATATATTTAAGGGTTTGCGTTTTAACACGTTCAAAAATATGGATAACTAACTTTCGAGAAGATTTACTTGTATTTGTTATCTCAGGATACTGATATTTTTCTCAGTATGAATAATTTCGTATAAACATGAAAAAATCACCACTTTTCATTACGGTAATGTGACTTATGCCACTTTCAAAATAAACGGCTTAAATAGTACTTGTTTTAGAATTTTTCAACCAGACAGTTTTTGATTAGAACTTATTCGAATGTGATTATTTTTTCGAAGAAAATTTGTATTTATTAGTTGCCCGCGTTTAAACATTGATCACAAGTGAACCGAAGAGTCACTCTCGTAAAACTACAGCAGAAGTATAAAAAGGTTCGGTTTTGAAAAGAAAGACGGGATTTCTTATCCGCGCACGATGCGCGCGCTCGACGCATGTGCTCGACGTATGCGTCAAACGCGTTTATACCAATGTAGTGGGACATAAGTATTTTTGTTTTCCAATACGTGATTTCGAAATGGTTATTTTCAACGTTTGCGTATAAAAATGTCGAAAAACTTATTGACGATAAGAGTTAATCCGTTACACTCGAACAGTAACTCTGAGGCACCATTAAAAATTGT